CAGGGCCTCACTGAGTTGCCCGGGCTCGCCATCCTCCCGCCACAGCCACTGCATAGCTGGAATGACAGGCGTGCTCCAGTGCGACCAACCTATGTCAGCTTCCTTGTGCACATATCTCCTACTTCTCCCAGTCTTTCCAAGGAGGCATTTTGATCTTCCAGGTGAAGAGGCCGAACACAGAGATGGCAACCTGCTTGGTACGCTGCTCAAAATGGCGCAACTTGGGCTAGAAGTAAGAAGGCTTAACCAAGCTCATGCTTTGCACCTTGACAGAAACAAAACAACTGTGTGGGGTATTGTAGTAGGAGAGTAGAAGAGGTGTTAAGGAGAATGCACTGCAACTGCAGGCAAGGCCCAGAGCAGTGCAGTGTAAGAAGCTGCAGCAACCAGTCAAGCTCCCAGTCCTAGCTTCCTGCCCAGCTCCAGGAACACCAGTAGTCTTTGGCCTTTGCGCCTAAAGGCAGACTAATAGGTCCCTTTTAATTTAGTTTACAAAGCAAACCCAATGGAAAGCCCTCAAAAGTGCTTTCTCTGGGACAAGCTGAGCTGACTGCCTCCCTGTTGCCAGTTGAGGCAAGAACTTCTTCTATCCCAGGGAGGAAGCTGAGCTGCACGGTAGGTGGGGACAGAACAGACCAGTGACCGCCCCAGGTGGTGATGAACGGGAGCCACTCTCAGTCAGTGGTTACAGCAGGCTGTGTTTTTCCCAAAGGACTACAGCAGTAAGGAAAAAGGCCACAGCAGTATTCCTTCCAGAACCTTCCACTTCCTTTGAGACCCCTCTGCTTGAGCGATGTCAGGGAAAATAGTATGTGGCAGATGTAATGTGTGGCTCCCCAAGATTGGGTCATAAGAAGGCATTGGGAGGCCCAAGCACCATTTAGGGAGGAAGCCCAGGCCAGTGAGAGGCTGTCTGCCTATGTTCAGGCTGGTGGTGCCACCAAGGTTGTAGCTGGCAGTCGGCCTCACCAGGGAGAGGCCATGAGTGAGGCTGAGGAGTCCCTCACACATGAGCAAAACACACATTAAGGTCACATATTAAGCCACTGTATTATAAGGTTCTTTTTTATGCATCCAGAGTATCTAGTGGCAGTTGCTTGATTTCCATTTCAGAGATGAATAACACAGAGGGGCTCTTGTCAAAGGTTTCCCAACTGGTTATTGACAGGCAGTCTGACTCCTGAAGCCAATGTCTTTTTTTTCCCTTTAACTTCCTATGATGAACATTGTCAAACACATGTGGAAACAATGGCATGATTACCCCATCACCCTGATCCAACAACCTCAAACTCATGCCTGGTCTTTGTCCTTAGACACCTCTCTGCTGCTGGATTGTTTTGAAGCTAATTTTATATACATCTGTCATTTCCTTTTTTCCTTTCCGGGTACCAGGGATCAAACTCAAGTCCTTGTGCTTGTGAGGCAGGCGGTGGAACCACTGAGCTAAATCCTTGGCCGTGTCATTTCCTTTTTAGTCCCCCCACCCCGCGGTACCAGGGATTGAACTCAGGACCTTGTGCTTGCAAGGCAGGTGGCAGAATCACTGAGCTAAATCCTTGGCCCATCATTTCCTTTTTAAATACTTCATTATTTACCTCTAAAATAAGGATCAGTCCTGTTATCTTTACATTTGGGACATCAGTGAGTTAAGTCAGTCCTGAGGTAGTGTACCTGGATGACCCAGTGGTTGTTTTAGGAAGTCAAACATTAGATAAAATGGTCAGTTGGTTTTTATATATTAATATTTGCTCTGAGATTTTGCAGGAAGTTTGAATGCCATTTTTATGAGTTTCTGAGCTGCACAGTGAGATGCTGAACAAAAGTTTCTTATGCCATACATGTGTAGAAAAAACTCTTTTCTAAAAATAAGACCTCAAATTCAATATGAAAAACACACATCATGGCTGGCCTTTTTGGGAGCCCAGGGAGTCTGCAGCCAGGGCATCCTAAATCATTCATCTCTGCAGTCCACATGATGAGCCAAGCTGTGCTGTGGATTTGTGGTAAATTAATACCCTGTCTAGACTATCCTGAGATAACCCTCCTACTCTTGCCATTTTTGCTGAAAGGAGTTATTGTTAATGAATTTATTTAATGCAGCACTTGCTGCCAGACTTGTAAAGCAAAGAGCCAACCATCATGAAGCACCTAGGAGATTGCGTCTGTTGAGTGTTAAATAATAATAATAATTACCCTGTTGTGCTACCCAGCTGTACCATCTACCCTGCCAAACCTCCTGTGGGTGACCTCACTGTCACCCCAGCCTTGGCAAGGAGGCCTCTGTCAGGAAAACAGTCTGGCACAGTGGTGCCAGATCCTGGTTGTCCAGTGTCAGCAACTGGGCCAGGTTTGACAAAGGCCTTGGGACTTACCACAAATAAATTGTACTAGTGCTCTGTGCTCCCTGAGTCAATGATCCAACTGGCTTTTCCTCTCTAAGAGCACACAGAACTTAGGTGGCAAACAGGTGGCCCTCTCTCTGTCACACTCAGACCTCCACCTCTGAGCAAGGGCAGGTCTGTGGCTGCACAGCAATAACTGAGCCCACTGGAGCCTCACTGCATTGCACTTTGACCCAACACAATGTTCATTCCAAAATCATGGCAAAGCAAAGCCTGGTATGACACCACTATTTTTTTTTTTTTTTGGTACTGGAGCTCGAACTCAGGACCTTGTGCTTTCGAGGCAGGCAGCAGAACTGCTGAGCTAAATCCCTGGCCCTGAGACCACTTTTTGAAATGACGGTGAAATTAAGAACTTCAGAAAAAGCAAAACAGCATGTGGTGCATAAAGACAAACACCTCCTCATGTGTAGGAAGTAGGGTAGTTGCAGGGACTGGAAGTTCACCTTGGAAATTGTAAAATAGCAGTTTTCAGAGCAAGTAATTAAATGAAAGGAAGGGGTAGCCCCCCTCCCTTTTGTACTGGTGATCGAATTCAGGACCTTCTGCTTGCCAGGAGAGCGTGGTGTCCCTGAGCTACATCCTGGAAAGTGACAGCCCTCTTTTCCAGGCTGGAAGCCTCTGACAGCGGGCAGATGGGGCCACAGAGGAGGTCTCTCAGGCAGAGCAGTTTACTTTTAAAGGGGATACTTTCTGATTTCAACACTTTGGTGCTAAGTGGGAATGAGTTGTCTTTCCTATTTCAGTTTGTTCTCCTGAGGGTTTCTGGAAACCGAGCTATGGTATTCTTGCTGCACCAGATCAAGCAGGAAGGGTTTTCCAAGGGGTGCGAGACTGTTGAGTCATGGGCTGATTTACCACCAAAATTGAATTCAGTTTGGATAATTTCTCTTTTTTGGGGATATTTTCGAGCCGACCATTCATTCATCTTTTCACTCTCCTCAATGCATGGCCCCCCACCCCCAGTTCAGAGATCAGACAGAGGCCCTTGCAGATGCCGTGCTAGATCCTCCGCCCCACATCAACTCATCTTTACTGAGCATCTGCATAGCAGCGGTCCCCAACTTTTTGACCAGGTTTCCTGGAAGGCAGTTTTGCTGCTGACTGGGCAACCTAGACCCCCTGCATGTGCAGTTCACAGTAGAGCCCGCCACTTGCCTAACGCAGCCTCTGGTCTTACAGAGGCTAGCTCGGGCAGTTCTGGAAGGAGGGACAGCAGCTGTAAATACAGATGAAGCTTTATGTACTCCCCTGCAGGTGGGGGCGGGGGTTGGGTATCCCTGGGCGGTAGGACCAAAGGAAATGAAGCAGTTCTCTCTCACGGAGCCTACGTTCTAGTGGGAGAGCCCAACAAATGGCCTCCTCTCTCTTTTTTTGTTTTTGTTTTTCTGCGAGTAGGTCTCGCTGGGCTGCCCTGGAATTCACTATGTAGCCCAGGCTGGCCTAGAACTCCTGGCGATCCACCTGCCTCAGCCTCCTGAGTGTTGGAATTATAGGCGTGCGCCACCACTCCAGGCTCTATACGAATGGTTTTTAGGGCGGTCGGTGACACCAGGTATATTAGGGACACCGGAGTGCCATCATCATCTCACTGACTGGCACAACTCCTGGCTCCTTTCGGAGGCGTGTTGCTATGGACGCATCCACCGTTGCTGTGGTTTGCGGCAGCGCCTCGCGAGGATCCCCACGATTTCTCGCGAGCTCTCCGCCGCGCGGTTGCCAGGAGACAGCGCAGCCTGCGCAAACTGAGCGAGTTGATCTCGGTCCCAGCCGGCGTCATGGTGAGGCTGGCACCTCCGGTCGGAGTCGGGGTAGTGCGCGCTGAGAACCCGGGGCGGGGAGGGGCGGTGCTTTGGGCTCGCTGCGTGGGGAGACCAGTGGCACGGGAGGGGAGCTCGTGTAGAGCCCGGCGCAGGCGGACTGAGCTGGGGGGTTTAGGAGTTGGGGCTCCTCTGCGCGCCGGGGCCGGCCTTCGCCCAGTGGAACTGCGACCTGGGCTCCAGGGTCCTGTGCGGATCGGGTTAGGGTTGGGGTTAGCTCGCACAGATCTAGGCTTGGTGCGGGGATTCACGAAGAGAGAACCTGGGTCTCCTCTGAACCGGGGACCCAGGGTTTCACCTGGAGGGGCGCGGACTTTATAAGGGTCCCCACGGCGGAGCTTGAGATGGAGAGCCCGGGGCACACCGCGGTGGCCGGAAGACCTTTTCCTCCAGGGAGCCCTGGCGCAGGGTCCAGGTTGCCTCTTTGGATGCAGGGCCGCTGCCTGGTGGAGAGCTTCGCAGGAGACCGGCCTAAGCAGAGGTTAGAGCCAGCAGCCTCTGCAGGCCTCCCCAGCAGGATGCCGGAGTTGTGACTGGGTTTCTAGACTGGTGCAGCAGGGTGGCGATCAGCGGCTGCCCGGGCTAGGGAACTCTAGGGTCTCCGAGCTCCGGCGCATCTTGCCGTGGCTCCCGCCAGGATCTGCTCCCTCCAAGCCCTTTATAACAGTTCCGTGAGGTGTCCTGCTTTAGTAGTTACGGTTTCAGTGGGTGGATCTTTTGAAAAGCAACTAGAAATAAAATAAAAACAACAGCTGAGTGTGGGAGCACACACCTGTGATCCCGGCTCTCAGGAGGCTGAGGCAGGAGGATCACTAATTTGAGGCCAGGCTGGGCTACATGGTGAGTTCAGGTCAGCCTGAAGTCACTATATAGGGTGATCCTGTCGCTAAACACAAAACAACAAACAGACAAAACACACCACCAAGTACTTGTACTTATCAGTAGTTAGTGGGAATATAGGTGATTTTTGTTCGTTTGTTCCTGAAGAACATTTGTCTGGTAAGCTGTTTACAGAACACCCACAGTGGGTACTGTTTGCTTAGTCTTTTGTGACAGGCTTTTCTGAAGTAGTTTTATATAGTATTTGGAAGGAAGGAGGCCTCTTGTTGTTGCAACCGGCCACTGGGGTGGACTCATTTTTCCTAACATTTGTTGAACCAGTTTCCTAAAGTTCTTTCTATGGTGCTTACTAAACATTGCGCCAACAAGGCGATATTTGGTAGTTTTCATATTGCAGGCGCCCTCCCCTCCCCTCTCTCTTTCTGTTGAGACAGCGTCTCACTGTGTAGCCCAGGCTGGCCTGGAACTCATGAAACTTCCTCAGCTTTTCAAGTGCTGGGATTATTTCCTCTCGCCTTTTTTTTTTTAGACCTAATTTTTTTTTAGTGGATGAAGGTTTTTATTAGTGTAGTTTGCAATACATAATAATTTATTTTGAGGAGCTGGTGCATGTACATGGCATATCTTGATAATTGCTGATCCCATAACCTTCTCCCTGAGGGTCCTCATTTTTGAGCCCAAGTAAATTCTGCATTCCCAGCATTGGTACAATCTTGGCTGTACCCTGAGCAGTGAATGGGTTTGGAACGAACAGGCTCTTCCCTTTTACAGGGAGAAAGTGTACTTTTCTGGAAAGGATGTCTTACCCTTTGTGCTACTCCCAAGTGTCAGCAGGGTGTGTGTGGGTCGTGATGGGAACTCACAGAGTGATATGCTCAGGTGAGACTTCCATCAAGGGCATGAGAGAGGAAGCAAGGGGGAGAGGCTGCAGATAGGTCCTCCCCACTGCTTATGGAAGCAAGTCAGAGCTTTCCAGGAGGGGGAAACTACTTAGCAGAATTCCCTTTACTTACCCAGTAATTTTTCTTGACCCCAGGCACCCAAAAAGAAAGGGAAGAAAGGTAAACCCAAAGGGACCCCAGTTGTGGATGGGCTAGCTCCAGAGGACATGAACAAGGAACAGGTGAGCAGGTCCCATGCTGTGCAATCCCAGGGTGGGCTGGTGTTGTCCCAGCTCTCACGATGAGCATCTTGCCATTGCTGCCCTTCTCCTCTTGGTCTGGATCCTCCCAGTCTGTCCAGACCAAGTAAGCCCCCCTATGTTCATGGTTCCCGTCAGCTCCAGATTTCAGATGCAGTACATATTTTAGAAAATGTAAAGCTGGGCACAATGGTACATACTTGTAATCCCAGCTCCTTGGAATGCTGAGAAAGGAGAATTGCAGGTTAAAGGCCAGCCTGGGCAACTTATTGAGATTCTGTCTCAAAAACAAAACAAAAACCAACAAGTGACTAGGGATGATGCTTGTCAGTAGAGTGCTTGTCTCACATGTCAATGCTCTGAGTTGAATCAGCATCCCACCCCCCAAACAAAAACAAACCAAACACACACACACAAAAAAAACAACTTCTCCAAACCAGCTGTGTTAAGGAACTTTCTAAGGGTATGGTAGGAATTTAGAAGAAAGTATCTTTCTGATATAATAACTATTCTTAACTTCCTGTGTTCTGTTCAGCCTTACCCCTTTAGGCACCTGATGTCCACAGAGCTGTTATTACATTATACATATGGGTGGCACACTCCTTTATTTCACTTTTTTTCTTTTTCGTACAGAGGATCAAAACTCAGGACCTTGTGCTTTCGAGGCAGACAGTGAAACCATTGAGCTAAATACCTGGCCCCTCTTTTATTTAACATTAAACATGATAGCAAATTTTTTTTTTTTGAAAGGAACGTAATTTACCTATTGTCTCAGTCTGACTAGTCACTTACTGTTGTTGACAAAAGTTCCACCCAGAAGTAACAGGTCTCTTGTTGACTGTGCTTTGTTCTAGGAGGGAATGATGTCTTTAAGGTTGTAAATAGGAGTTATTTTAAGCCGCTTGTCCATTTTGATGTAAAGGGTTAGAGAACATTATTATTATTATTATTATTTATTTTATTTCTTTTTTTTTTTTTGAGACAGGGTCTCACTGTGTGGCCCAGCCTGGCCTGGAACTCACAGCAACTTTCCTGCCTCAGTGTCCCGAGTGTGGGGATTACAGGCCTGTGTCAACATGCCCAGCCTAGAGAACATAATTATGTAATAATGATTTCTTTTAAAAGGCTCCTGAGGACTGTATGTGGCAAGCATGTGGATCCCCTGTTATCTGTGTTGATGGTGACATGGGGCCTGAGGATTCTGTGTGGATTTGACTGATAATGTTAAACCTGACTTTCTTTTGATAGGGTTTTTGTGTGCATATGTATGTGTATATCGTACTGGGGATTTAACCTAGGGCCATTGTACTGAACTACATCTCCAGCCCATTTTTAAATTTTTTGAGACCAGGTTCAAGTGGCTGCATTGCCTAGGCTGAGCTTGAACTTGTGACCCTCCTGCCTCAGCTTCCCAGAGTTCTGGGATTAAAGGCAAGGTTCATTATGGCCAGCTTTTTTTTGATAGTTTAAAGATACACACACACACACACACACACACACACACACACACACACACACACATATTCAAGATGGAAAACGTCCTGTGAGCCAGAGTTGGAGCTATGTGTTGGCCTTTGAACGGTGTTCATAGTGCTTTATTTACATGCAGGAAGCTCAGCGCAGTTCCACCAGAGGGGAGGTTTTGACCCCCCTCTCTGATGGATGGTGATCACATAGAGTGTTGCATTGCCCAGTGTAAGAGCTGTTATTTGTACCTGGTTGCTTTCTGTCTCTGAGGAGCCGAAACTTTACTCCAAGTCTGAAGAGCTGGGGCTGCTGCTGCACGCTGGACAGTTGAGGCATCGACTCGGAAGCCTTTGGGTCTAGCAGGGGACTGGGGATATGGGTGACCTGGAGACTCATCCCTCCCCCTCCACAGGCTCACCAGGCCTTTGCCCAGAGGGTGCTGGATTCCAGTACTGTTTTTATTTATTTATTTTTCTTTTGTGACACAGTATCACTGTGTCAGTCAGGCTGGCCTTGAACTCACTATGTAGCCCAGGCTGGCCCTGAACTCATGGCAGTCCTGTTTCTGCCTCCCAAGTGCTGGGATTACAGGTGTGTACCACCACATTCAGCATGTTTTCTGATTTTTTGAGAAGCTAGAAATGTGGAGATTTGTAAGAAATTAAATATTTTTTTTAATTGAGGTTATTGGTACAATCTAGGTATACAGTACAGTTACATTCATCATTGGGATTCTGTACCTTTACATAATAGGTCTTGATTCTCATTTTTCACCCTTGTCCCTGCCCTCCCTTCACCCCCTCCTCCCCTCCCCGTTTACAAACACTTTATTTCCATTTTTTCAGTTTCTCATATTTTTTCCTCTCCCTTATTACCTTTCCCCCACCCTTCCCACTGAAATTGAATATTTAATAATGACAGAATACAACACTCTGTGAGCCACCCAGAGCAGATAGGAATCTTGCTTCCAGCTCTTTGTTTCAGTGGCATGGAAGTGTGCTGGGAAGATCTTGTCATTGTGCTGAGGCAATCATTAGATTTTGGGGTTCTGTGTGTACTCGGGGACCCCAGCCCCTGGCTCACATACCCATATCAGAGCCCCAGGTTGGTTTTCTTGAAATGAGAAGGTGGTTTTCCTGTGGGGAATGTGGTTTTGGGAGAGACTTCACAGTCATTGGCCTGGGGCTGTGCCCAAAGATAACTCAGGGAAACGAGGTCCCCAGGAAGCTGGATGCCTGTCCTACTTTTCTCTTTAACCTATTTGCAGATTTGCAGCAGGCTCTGGACCAAAAGCTGTTATTACACATTTACTGGTTTTATATATTTTTTTGTTTAACATTCTATCTTTAAAGGTAAAAATTGTTTTTTTCAATTATTTTGTGGAAATGTTTACATCCTGCTATGTCATCTTTTTTTTGACCAGGGATAGAACTTGGATCCTTGAGTTTGAAAGGCAGGTAGTGGAAACAGTGAGCTAAATCCCTGGCCCTGTCATCTGTTTTTTAAGCCTTTATTTCTTCTGATTGATACACTATAACTTAAAGCCATTTTCCTATTTAAAATTGTCTTACACAATTTCATTATTGGTGGCTTTTTTTTTTTTTTTAGTGTTTTTGAGACAGGGTCTTGCTATGTAATTGAGACTGGCCTAGAACCTATAGAACTCTCTATAGAGCCTAGGCTGGCCTCAAACTCAAAGCAGTCCTCCTGTCTCAGCCTCCTGAGTGCTAGGATTAAAGATATGCACCACCATGCCCGGCTTCATTTTAAGTTTTTTGTTATAATAGTGAGATCTATAACTTTAAGCCAAAAGCTCGTATTTCTTTTGAGGCATTTCTGTAATGTAAATTCCCATGAATGACTGAGTTGCTGTAATGGGTCTATATGATTATTAGCCAAATTCAAGAAAATCCTGGCCTTTACTGCACGTATTGCATCCTGAAGCCTCCTGGCACCTAACCTTTCACTTTGTGTTTATTTTTGGTAAGTAGCCCCTCCTGCCTCCCTTCCTCCCTACGTCCACACACCTTGCCAGGGCCGGGCGGGGCTGCAGGGTCTCTGACCTCTGCGCCTGGCCAGGTGGAGGAGCACATCATGCGTGTGCGGGAGGAGCTGGACCGGGAGCGGGAGGAGCGCAACTACTTCCAGCTGGAGCGGGACAAGATCCACACGTTCTGGGAGATAACGCGAAGGCAGTTGGAGGAGAAGAAGGCCGAACTGCGAAACAAAGACCGGGAGATGGAGGAGGCTGAGGAAAGGCATCAGGTGGAGATCAAGGTGAGTGAGGCTCAGCCCAGGAACCACATGGAGTGGGTATGTTTTCCCTCCTTGTTTTGGGGGTCACAGCCCTTTGTGTCTTTATGCTGGGAACCTGGAAGGCTGAGGGAAAGAAACTGGGTCCCCGCAGTGATGGGAGAGGCCCTGGGGGTCCTGTGTGATGTGGAAGGAGTACGGGGGCAGGGTGCAGCCTTGCTCTGTCACCTTGGGAGCCGCGCAGCAGTGCCTCCCTGGCCTCTCGGTGCCCTGCGCTGTCCGGGGCACGTGTGTAGGTGACTGGCAGGCCTCCCTGCCTGCAGGTGTATAAGCAGAAGGTGAAGCACCTGCTGTATGAGCACCAGAACAACCTGACAGAGCTGAAGGCCGAGGGCACCGTGGCCATGAAGCTGGCCCAGAAGGAGCACCGCACACAAGAGAGCGTGCTGCGCAAGGACATGCGGGTGCTCAAGGTTGAGCTCAAGGAGCAGGAGCTCGCCAGCGAGGTGGTGGTGAAGAACCTGCGGCTGGTAGGTATGCGGAGGGCATGGGGCCAGGTGTGGGACAGTGAGCCTAGTGCTGCCCAGACTCCTGGTTAGTTAACTGTGAATTCATGTTTCTGGGTTAAAAACTCCTGCTTTTTTCTTTTTTTTTTCTTGGTACTGGGGATATAACTCAGGACCTTGCGCTTGTGAAGCAGGTGCAGTGCCACAGAGCTAAATCTCCGGCCCCCTGCTGCATTTTTATAATTCATTGAAATACTTAAAAAAATCCACAGACAAACAGATCCTGTTTGAGGGCCCACTTCAGAATTTTTGATGTCCTTGAAGGAAAATCCAGCAGAGAACCTTTCCTCTGTGCTGCTTAGCCTTGGTCCTGCACATTCTGTATTGGGAATGGCATCAGACACAGGCAGAAAAAACAGCCTCCTGATGTCCTGTGACCTCGCCTTGGCCACGGGAACTGTCATGCGGTGGGCTCACAAGGACCTGGGTTGCTTGGAGGCTGGGATTGGTCCTTCCTGAGAGAAGCTGGCAGTTTCCAGGTGGAAGCCGAAATTCATTTGCTAGTGCTGGGCCGATTGGATCCGAGACAGGATTCCTCCCTGCAGGAAAGGACAGAGACCACACATGGGACCTGAGACAGTAGCTGTGGTATGACTGCGGGGGTTGAATACTGAGGAGGAATAGAGAGGTGGGCTGGAAGCTGAGTGAGGGAAGAGGCTTCAGGTTTCCACGAGGGTTTCCGAGATTGCCTCACTGAGTAAGTGACATTCGGGCAAAGGAAAGGCTGGAGGGAGTGAGGTGGGCACGCTAGGTGCGGGCTGGTGGAGAAGCTGGAGGCTGGAAGACAAAGTGCCTGGTTGGCTGGATGCATGGTCTGCAGAGTCACTACAAGGCTGGGAGAGGAGTGATGTGCCTCCTTTCCTCAAAGGGTCTTCCTGGGCCAGGGATTTAGCTCAGTGGTTCCGCCGCCTGCCTTGCAAGCACAAGGATCCCAGTTCGATCCCTGGTACCAAAAATACAAGGGTCTTTCTGGCTACTGGGTTGAGAAGACAGCACATGTGCTTCAAGTCTGGGAGCCAGCAGCCCAGCAGACTCCAGAAGACACCTAGTGGCAGTGCCACTGCAGGGGATCTTGGGGTTTCTGATGGCTGGGTTCTGCAGAGTGGTCTGGTTGTCCTGAGAAGCACGGAATAGCTGGTTTCAAATTAGCTCAGGAATCTAAGGCCTGGTTGTGGGGCTTTTACATGCTCAGTATTCATCCCTTTGGGTAGCATAATTAAAGTTGTTTTGTTCAAATTTTAACATGTAATAATTGTCGATTAAAAGAATTTTTGAGTGTTGCTCTAAGCAGCAGTGAGGTAGGTTAGCAAGAGCTGCATGAGGCTGTGAAGAGAGCCTGCATCTCCTGTAGACACAGCTGCTGCCCTCTTGCCTGGGAAGGCTCATTCATATGAAGGTCTTTCAGCCTCAGAAGCAACTTGTTGGGAATGTGAGCTATGTATAGGGAGATGACCAATAACATGTTATTCTGGGCATATTTCATGAACTTAGAGGTGAGAGGAGAGAGGAACCCAGCAACCAGCAGCAGGAGTACTGGTTTCCAGAGGTGGGGTCTTTATGCGGGTGAGGGACAGGATCAGCCTGAAGGGAGTGGTGTCTGCTAACCTCCTGCTCTTGCCTGTCCAGAAACATGCCGAGGAGATCACCAAGATGCGGAATGACTTTGAGAGGCAAGTTCGAGGTCAGTTTCTCACATGCACGCTGTACAGCACAATGTGAGGACCCCCACATCAGAAAGTAATTGCCCGAAGCACTTGTTAACTCAGTGCACAGCCAAACTGAAACAGCTCATGTGCCCAGAGAGAAGGAGGAAGTTCCTAGAGCCAGCGGACCACTTTGAAAACCAGAATGACTTATTCCCATGCACATTCCAGAGGTTGTGGTACCACACACTTCCTTGCTCCTGTCTAGAGTCAGGAGTTGACAGTAGGGAGTGGTTCTTCCATCCTGTGGGTAACAGTTTTAGAATAGTCCTGGCTCCTAGCCTGAGAAAGTTCAGTTCCATTCTATTTGGTTCCCTAGTCAGGATCTATGACCTGTGGCCAGGCCGGTGTCTACTGGGCTCAGCTGACAGCAGGGGAACCCTGTACAGGCATCCACTGCTGTGCCTGCCTGTCGCTGGAAAATGAGGGCTGGTGGTGGCCCGGGGGGTGAATATATCACCTGGGAGTGGCAAAGGAAGAACTTCTGGGGCTGGGGATTTGGCCCAGTGGTTCCGCTGCCTGCCTCGCAAACGCAAGGACCTGAGTTCGATCCCCAGTACCAAAAAAAATAGAAAAAAGAACTCCTCCTTAGCAAAGCAACATTTGTTCTAAGCACAATGGTTGCTCCAGGACCTGTGTACAGGCTCCCTCTGTTCTTGGAGCAACCGGTCCTTTTGCTTGCTCTACTGAGCTTCTGTGTTTGCTGCTGCCTTTCAGAAATTGAGGCCAAGTATGACAAGAAGATGAAGGTGCTGAGGGATGAGCTTGATCTGCGAAGAAAGACTGAGATCCATGAAGTGGAGGAGAGGAAGAATGGCCAGATCAACACCCTGATGCAGCGCCATGAAGAGGCCTTCACTGACATCAAGAACTACTACAATGACATCACGCTCAACAACCTGGCCCTCATCAACTCCCTCAAGGTGCTGACACAGGGAGTGCTGGGGGGCTGCTCTGTCTGCTAATTTGGGCTGCAGAATCTGGGGGAGGTAGACCCAGCTCTGAACCCACCAGACCGCACAGCCCTTTTATAAAAATGTGGATGGTCGGGGACCAGGATTTAGCTCAGTGGCTCTGCTGCCTGCCTCGCCAGAGCAAGGGCCCGAGTTAGGTCCCTGGCACCAAAAAAAAAAAAAAAAAAAAAAAAAAAAAAAAAAAAA